GCATAAGTGTTAAACTGCAGGATGAATTTAAATGCAGGTAGTACAGTACTTGCCTGACTTTAACTAGGAATAGTCTATAGTAGCTAGACTTGGGCTTTTATAGTAGCCAGACTTTATAGTAAGGCTGTGTGAGGAATATATCCTGCTTACAAAAATTTGGCCTAGAAATCTGTTTGCACATTTGAAAAAAATATAGGCCAATTTCCACTCAGATTTTGCCGAAAATTATGATTTGACCCAATAACCATTTGTGTTATGCAGTAGATATGATTCTATGCACACTACATTTGAGCCAGTTTTTGAAGCATCGTTCGCGCAATTAAAATACTTTACAGTAATGGATAGGCCTAGTAGTAGCATTGCAAATTACGTAAGGCGTACCTATATAAGGCTGTTCTCACACGGCAGCTAACGGTTAGCAGGATCCGGATCCTGCTAACCGTTAGCTGCTGTGCGTCCATGCAAGAAAATCCCAAACCAGATATCAACAATATGATGATCGAATCACTGGCCAATAAGAAACTGGAAATTGTAAACGCTTACGTGATTGGTTGATGATAGAAACGCCCTCAACTTGCTAACCGATAGCACTTGCTAACCGTTAGCGTATCTTACACAGGTGCTAATGATTAGCTCCCGATCCGGATACTAGGGCTCTCGTGAGAACCAGGCTTAAGATAGGCTAAAGCTGGGCACACACTCAGCACTGCACCCGATGGTTGTCAACAGACGCGATTCTTTAGAGAACATGCCGTACATGCAATGGATCGTTGTTAATGACGTTACGTTCACACTGCCACCGATAATCAGCAGACAGCGTAGTGTAAAATATTCACATAGAGCAAGTTGGATTTGTTGTACGGCAGTGAGTGCCTGGCTTTAATAAGCGACCTTCCCCCTGCTGGCTTGGTTTATTTTGCCTTGATTTGAGAACTTGCTTCAATCACATTAGCTCAACCCGCCCTCGATAAACTAACATTACGTAATCTCACTATATTAATTGGATTAACACATTATCAAGGATAAGTAGTGAGTGTTTAACATTGGTGTCCTTGGATTCAATTATGGGTAAACGGATTAGTTGCCTTTTTTATGAGGTTTTAATTGTTCTTTACCGTCGAAAGTGCGGTATCGTTAGTTTAAGGAGGGCTGGTCGGCCTAATGCAATAACTGTAAATTCTGTGGTATTTAAAAATATGGAAGGAATAGCCTATATCAACCACAGTTTACCAGACATGGTATTATGTTTTGTTGGCTGAGCAAAAAATACCATCATAAGAAGCTGGGCCCGATGTGAGTTGAGAAACTTACTTAGAGGGGTCTGCCTGCTAATCTATTGTGTAGGTACGACACCAATCACATTCACTAGTTACATCTATTCTTACTACTTTACTACGGGGACATTTTTTTCTCATTCGAATGTTAGATTGGAACATTACTCTAATCGATGCTGATGTACGGTAAATCATTAGAATAATTTCACGTGGGCCTATGTCTGTCAAAAAAATCTGAAATTAAAAAAAACCCTCAAAAATTAAATTGAAACTTTAAAAAGTTAGTATTAAAAGATCAAGTATTAACTTTATTAACTATCCAGGAACAAAAGTTTTCGCTGATTGTACTGTAGGCCTATCTGTGCAATTATAACTCTCCGTTAATAGGAAAATATTTAGGCCCTATCATTCGAATCTAAGTGAGGCTTATTAACTTAACCCATTTGTTCACAGAGAAGAATTAAATACAAACTTTGAAGAAATAGATGTAACATGGATCGACATCTATAAAAGGAAACAAAATATAGCATGCATATTGACTCCCGAATTACAAAACTGAATTTTGATAAGAAAGGCCTAACCCTAACTAATAGGCCTATTGCTAAAAATAAGGGGCTTAAATAGGCTTAAAAGATTATGGGATTTTAATGTCGATTATAAACTCAAAAACTTAAAGGAATAGCAGTGATAGAAGAAATACCGTAAACCTCAAATAGAAGCCCAAGGGAAGAAGTCCATCTCGATTGCAGCCGCCTTTATATTTTGCACTAAAGTCAATCGAAAAGAGGCCCATCTCGAAAATGGGCTTTTTTTCAAGATAGCGGGCTTTTTTTCCGAGATAGTGCAGTACACGCTGTACCAGTGAATTTAAAGAAACAAAATTATTACAATCACACTTGGTTTAGACAGATTTAATGCCGGTTAATTACTGTTACAATGACCCTATATTGCTTTAGGCCTAGTAGTAGGCCTAGGCCATAATTCCCAAAATTTACAGCATTCATTTTGAAAAGAAGTCCCCCTCTTTTTTTGCAAAAGTAACCTCGATTGGTTACCTCGGTTTGGCTTTCTACTTTCGATCGTGGAGGACAGATAGGCCATATGCATTCTCAAGAATGCGTGGTTCCTAACAGATTTTCAGTTGTAAATAACAACCATAAAGTGGCAAAGAATGCCTTTTCATTTATCTAGGGAAAAACGACGGGGGACCGCGATGCCCCGACAAGGGGTCAGATTTCCAGAGCTTCGATTAAAAGGTTTAGAAAGTGGTCCAGGGGTGGTTTAGGGATTATTTAATCGATTTTAGAATAATTTTTTTTTCTCTCCGACGAATAGTGCTTTTTCTCAGCCCGAAGGGGGGAGGGGAGGGCAGCCTCTCCCCGACGGGGGCCCCGGTCCCCTGCTGGCGCCACCCCTGAAGGGAATGCCCCGGACACCCCCCTTGGGGAGACGTTTTAGGACAAAAGTCTCACACCTGTGCAAACCTGACAAAATAATAATAATAATAATAATAATAATAATAATAATAATAATAATAATAATAACAATAACAATAATAATAATAATAATAATAATAATAATAATAATAATAATAATAATAATAATAATAATAATAATAATAATAATAATAATAATTTGGCTTATGCGCATTATGCTAAATCCTCAATGCGCTTAACAATAAAACTGAAAATGCCGGGAAAATGTAAGAAAAGATTTTAACTGATCGGAAATAAAATATTTGAATTTAAATATCATACCAGTTAAAACAATTTACAGTGAGAAATGCCTATTTCAGTGTGCATGTATATGCTTATCACACTGTTAAGACAAGAAAAATAATGGAATAATGAAAAATTTCTAGCGGACCCCAAAAAACTTTCGCGAACCCCCATGTTCGCTACCGCTTGCGGACCCTTTTGACTTGGCGGACCTCAGGTTGGGAATCACTGTACTACAGTAGAATATAAAGTCACTATAATCATTACCGTATATTATATTATTGCAACCTTAAGATTGATTTAATAGTTTGCTAAAAGAAGACCTTTCATTTTTCAATCCTGTTAAGCCCGTACAGCCTAATATTCTGTAACATTTTTTCTCGCGGACTGCAGAATAAATTGCTCCGCGGGCCGCCTATTAACAACCAGGGGAACATTGGGAGAAGAACGACGTGAATGGTATGAGAATTTCAAATCAAACAACGTTGGAAATGGAAAAAGAATAATAAAAAAAAAACAATACTGCAAAATGGAGAAGATATATAATTAATAAGCGTATGTTAATTGGCAAGTAAAATTGTAAAGGTGAAGAAAGAAAAACGAAAGTGTCTTGCTCATTAAAGTAAACAATAACACGAATTCCATAGCAGGAAGGACGGATTATATTAATTGCTGCTTCCTGCGCTCGTACAAGGGTAAGTTACAAGTCTGTTCAGTCACAAGGAAATTATGTAAACTGTAGGCCTATTAAAAAACACAGGGAGCCATTGGTGGTCTCCTTGCAGCAGGTGAGCTCGCTTTGCTCGCATTAATCCGACGTCTTAGACCATGCACAGACCTCTATAATGCTCACGCCGCCCATCATCACTAAATTTTCCACCTCCCAGTGGCAAGGATGGGCAGTGCTGCCAGTGCAAGTACGGGCTTGTTCAATAATAGTCCTCTAAAAATTATAATCAAACATTTAAAAAAAAATTTAAAATAACTAGTAAAAAAAATAAATAAATAAAATAAAATGGCAAGGGAGCACCAGCCATCCCCTATTAAGGGTTTTAGATGTGAGGTGATAATTATTTATTATATCGGCGGTCGTTATTATTACATCGGCGGACGTAATGTTGCCGGAGACTGGTAGCTTAATAGAACGTGTCATGTCTCCCTTCCTTTTTGAAATTGAGCATTATTTCCACAAAGTAGAACTGGATGTTTTTTTTTTTTTGTTTCTTTTTTCTATCATATTGACTTTGATTCTTATGTTTACTTCATCGTTTACGCCTAAATACCATAACTTGTACGGGCGTCCATACAAACAACTCACTGGAGGACTAATCCTGTAGGAGTGTTTTCAAACCAAACACGAAGTTACAAGCATAATCGTAACAAACACAATCACAAAGTTACAGTTTGTTGAACTTAATAGTTTGGCACACAATAAGTATTTTCTCTGTAATTTCGCCCATCCTATATCCACCAAATACCAGGGATTTAAAGCCTAAAAACTCTTCGCCAGTCAAATCTCGGGTCATGGTAAAGTTTTTATTTTAGTCTGCTGTCAAATAGCGGAAGACTACCGTTTCTGGCGTTTGTCGATTGGTTGGTAACGGATTTAATTCTAAACCTGGGTGTAGTCACCACTACTTCAATTGGCCCAGTGTTGTGTTTTAGCCCTCATTTTATCAAAAAAATGAATATTACTATTCATTATAATGGTTAGGGGCCTATTACTTTTAGTTTCTTTAAATATTTTTTGTATATTATATTTTTTCTCTCGCGGGCCAGAATAATTTGCTTCGCTGGCCAAATTTGGCCCGCGAACAGCCTATTAAGAACCCGGGCCTTAGATTATCAGCCAATGGAACTGTGGAATTAATTTATTAATGGCAAATGAATGATAATTGACGAGATGTTATGGCATTTATTTTCCATTTGAATTGAATGAAGATAAAAGTTTATGAAGGGAAGTGCGTCAACTACTTTTTTTTTGTTGAGGGCGTACTCGCTCACACATGTTTTTGTTCGATATCATATCGCTCGCTGCTGGTAGTTGTTTATTATCTTACACCCTGTTTCTTCAAATATTTAATATTGATATTTATTCAGTAATACTAAAGCAGTATACAATATTACATGATGATTTATTCACATATATCAGCTGCAATTTTAGCTGTGCTAGTTGTACTTATTCACGAGACTGAAGCTAGTTTAGACAGAGGTATGTAAGAAGAAGATCTAGCCTCCTCCTAGGCTAGGCCCTACTTCGTAGGCTCTAGGAGAGTAGTAGTAACTATGCTGATACTGGCCTACAACAGGTCATTATGAAACCTACTGATGGGGCTAAGGATGAGGATGGCCTTGCTGTGTAGAAAGCAGGGCGCTAGCCTACCTTCCTTGTTTAGTACTTGTATTTCTATGTAGGCCTAGCTGATAATTAATAAAATGAAGCAACAGAACGAATGCAATTGCACCATTTAGAGACATTTTTGAACATATTTTCAATATATATTTATTTACTTACCTAACTAAAGCATGTATGTAGTTAAGTTTAGTAGTAGTACTGATACTTACTGTAGTACTGGGGCTCCAGATTTCTGTCATGGTGACTTTGAACTTTGCTTTCGGAGCTCCAAGGCAGTGAGGCACTTGTCTGATTAAATAAATGAAAAATGAAATGATGCCTTTCTTTAAACAGTTCAGTCATGGATATTTAATTTATGTTCTCATCCATATGAGTGTTTTTTTGGTTAAGGAAAGAAAAGCATAGCCTAGCTGGTCTGGGTGATTATAATAATACTAATCATGAATATTAAAAGAGATTTTTTTCCCCCCAGGTTTTGGAGAAAGTATAAATTGGAAAACATTGGATGATGGTTTAAAATTGTCAAAAGAAACGTATGTTACATAATGATATACAGTACAGGTCTCCCTCCAATTAAAGACCACGTTCAGGACTGAGGATTCTATGGTCTTAGCAGCTTTGGTCTCTAATTGGAATAATAAAGATAAAAGAATTTGTTAAAATGGGACCACAGAAAAGCAGTCTTTAATTTGAGGTGGTCTTTAATTAGAGGAGACCTGTACTAAATTGTAGTTGATAAAACATATGCTGGGTAGAGAATGTTGCACAAAAAAGGTTAGGTTAATATTAATAATAATGATGATAATTAATTATTATTATTATTATTATTATGTCAATGACAATTAATGATTAATGCATGCTCCTCAACTTTTTTTTAATAAGTGCCTGCCATGGTGCTTCAATTGAGGGTACATTTTACAACATGCCTTGATGCTTTAATTTATCTCTTGTCTCTAAATAATTTAGCGAGAAGTCAGATAGCCTTTGCCTCTCTTGAATATTAACAGTGTCTCTTTCTAATTGAAACCTAAGATTATTTTACAAACAGCACCTTGGCACTTATTGCTATAATTCCTATGATGTCTATGATACACCAAATTGAACAGAACAACACACCATCCTATTCTAATGTTGCTCTTTATTTTTGCTGTCAAACCTTTTCTATTAGGACAAGTAAAAATGTTCTCGTCCTTATATTTTGAAAAAAAGGAGAATGAGGGAAATTTTTTTTTACTCCAAAATGGCAAATCCAATATTGTCGATGGGAAACAGCTACTCACTTTTACCAAGTAGACACATTGAAAGCAAATAAAAGAAGCACTAGACATGTATCCTGACCATATGTATCTCTAACCACGAACAATTGAGAGAGGAATTTTTCTGATGCGAGTTAGCCAGATTTTCCTAAATTTTGTCAAATAAAGGAAATAAAAAAAAAAATAATTGGTGAGGCAAAGAAATAGGATGTATGTTGGGACGAGAAACTAGTATTTTTTTTATCCTTTATTGTTGCTTTATTTTTTTGCTGTCAAACCTTTTCTATTATTCAGTAATGATTATTAAGTTATGATGAAATAATCATTAATTGGAATTCTTATTTTAAATCATTTCCTTAGTGACACACCATTGATGTTGATTATCCATAAAACATGGTGCGGTGCTTGTAAAGGTAAGAATGTTGTTAAGGTTTTTTTTATATATAAATCACAATTTTATTTGATATAGATGTCGTATTATGTTAAGTATGTAGTCAGTTTATTGAAAATGTTTTTATTTCAGCTCTGAAACCAAAGTTTGCAGATTCATCAGAAATTGCACAATTAAGTGAGAAATTTGTGATGGTGAATGTGGAGGTAATTAATCAACATTAATTTCATTTTCTTAATTTTAAAATAGAACATTGAAGGAGACCTCCAGGCAGCCAGAAATACAGTATTTTATGTCTGTATGATAGCTGGCTGTGTGGAGAGTTGTGGGGTCTGCAGAATATGTTGGAAACAAAGGGTTGAGTTCATGGTGTGTGCTGAGAAAAGAGAAAGAAACTGCTCACCAACAATTATTATTTCGAATAAAGGTCATATATGGCCATTATTGGTTTAATACACTGTAGTTTTAAATTTTTCAATTGATATATCTTCTGTAATTTGTATTCTTTTGCATTGTTTATCTTAAATATTTAGAATTAACTTGTCCTTGACTTTAAACAATGTGTAAACCTATATATTACTGGGTCTAGACTAAGGATAAATTTCCGTAGTGTCATAGTTTATTTCCGTATACGTCAAAATTTCCGTAGCAACTAGGACGTTCCGTTCTGTAGAACTTGAGATTTTTTATTTATTCTGTTTCTTTGAAATTCATGTACAGTGTATGTACTGTACTATCTCGAAAGGAAAACCATGCAATCATGAAAAGAAGCCCATGGGCTTCTTTTTGAGGCTACATTTGCAAACTAAAGAGGGGTCTCCAATTCGAGATGAGCATGTTCTCGAGATTAAACCTATTCAACGTTTTACTGTATATATTTTGGAACTTACAATTGTTGAAATAAAAAATAATTTTTTTTTTCTAAATTCAGGATGACGAGGAGCCAAAAGATTCGAAGTATTCGCCGGATGGTGGTTATATTCCAAGAATTCTTTTCCTAGAACCAAATGGTGATGTTAGGGATGATATTATCAACACCGCAGGGAATGAAAAATATAAATATTATTATCCTAATGCAGACCATGGTAAGTCTATGATATTTTCTAATAATTAATATGTAATATTATGTGCATCATATTCAAAGCATTTATTTTTTCACTCATTTTTAAAAATTTTGTTATTATTTTGATAGATGTGTTGTTATTAATTAAATTTAATATAGCTTTCTGGTTATAAGGATGTTCATATGTAGAATATGTTTTATTATATTTATAATGTAAACATCTTTCAACCTTTATAGTTAACAGGAATTACAGATAATAATGCACAATGTAATATATAACAATATTAACAATAATGATAAATATTCAATAAATTAATTGGTTTTGAATATCATATCATAATTTCTTACGATATGAAACCATATAAACAGTTCAATTACATACTTGTTGTAAATAACGGTATTATTAATGGTATGACATTGATGAAAAATAAATTATTTTTCTGTTTAAATTTTTTTGTTTTTTGCATTTTCAGTTTCAGAGCTTGTTGTGTTTTATAGTTGATTTTCTATCATAAATTTTCTACAAATCATCACTTGGGCAACTCTGTTGGGATTCATAATATTTTCCAAAATAATTTTGAATTAATGATAAATAAAATATCTGTAATTTTGAGATTAACATTAATCCCTGCCTTAATATCCATTGTAATACACACAAATAAAATCATACAAAGAGTTAAGATGCTGGCTAATTCAAGTACCAGGATGTTGTCTTTGAGTACCACAAGGTGTTAATAATACCTGCTTTCTGATTGGCTGAAACTATAATCACTACAGCCACACCTCCATTATCAAATTTTGCCACCTCACCAATTTTAGGTTATTGATGCAGCACTCTGATTTAACCAGTGAATGACAGATGTGAATTATTGAATTCTCTGTGTAATTATGAACATCTGTTTTAAAATGCAACTAGTATAGTCAAATAATTCTTTATTTACTCAGAAAAGATTAGATTAATTTACTTTATGAACACATGTTAATGAATGATGCCGAGATAATTAATTTATAAATTTTCTCTTGCCAGATTTGTTTTTTTTTCTAGAATTATTTTTAACAATTATTTAATAAAAATGTTTATGAAGCAAACTAAATTGAAGTGGTAAATAAAAAAATATATAGTTTGAATAACATAGGTAATACAAAATTGAAAAAAAAAAAATCATTAAAACCACCTTAAAATATAGGAATTGTAATATAAATAATGTAAGAATAACTTCATAGGTGTCATGCTTACCCGAGGAATGAAAGGTAAATGAAAAGAAAAACATTTTGGCAGTGAGATCATAATTATTGTATGACACGCTATTCAATTTTGTCAATGTATAGTACAGTACTGGCAATAAGTGTGAAATAAACTCAATTGACATTCTGACACCAACATTTGTAATGTTTGGGCTTAATCAACCATGATATAACAGTAAGGTCTAGTTGCTTACACAAACTTTAAAGTCACAAGTGGGGATATAGCTCAGTGGTAGAGCATTCGACTGCAGATCGAGAGGTCCCTGGTTCAAATCCGGGTGTCCCCTCCAATTTTTTTTTTAATGCACGATATTTAAACAATTGATAAGTTCTATATTCTTTCTGGCCTTTTATAACTAATAGACTTTATTTCATTTCCTTTCATAGATAACATTAAAAGAAAAATATTTATGAAGTTTCAATGTCACTGTTCTTGTTTTATGTGTTGAAAGGTGTGCTTTTAAGTTGTACAGCCACATTTGTTTGTTTGTTTTTTTTTTTTTTTCCACACAATACAAAATAATCAGTAAAAGCCTGATAAATACAGAACTTAAAAGATAATACATAAATGTTAATTAAATAATTGTATTATCATCATCATCATCATTTGGTACTGATTATAGATCACAAAATGAAAAATAATGTACTGGGTCACAACATTGTGAAATAAATAAATATATAAATAATAAATAAGTGAGTTGGTAGAATTTTTTTTATGACAAACATTAAATATCATTTCACCCTTGTTTTCCAGTCCAATGCTCTATCACTGTCAGTGAGCTATTCTTACTTGTACTCATGGTTTATACATAAGCCTTAATACTGCTTGCTCTAAAACTATTTGAAAAATTAAAATCCATCAATTATAATATAGAACGTTATTGTAGACATTGTTGTTCCATTGGGAGGGAGGGGGAAAAAAAACTTCAGAGGACACCTGGATTTGAACCGGGAACCTTTTGATTTGCAGTCAAATGCCATAACCACTAAGCTATATCTCCATGTGATTTAAATCAATCTGTGCATATATTCGTCATTACTCATTGCCAGTTGTGCAACACATTGAGAAGAATAATTGTCAAAATGCAAGTGGTCAGTTTGCCTTCACTGCTCAGTTAGTAGCATTCAATGGTAATTGTTACCACCAGTATATGAAACATCTTTGAACCACATTAATATTCCAAATTAATGAATTAATGTACTTTAAAACTTTATTATTAGTCATATAAATGTGAACTCTTACTATTCTTGATTCATCATGATTGGGTAATTACAGTATTATTTCAGCATATTACATCATATCTTATTCATCATATTTCAACAGTGATTAGTAATGCATTTTACTTCACATTGTGTGGGGATATAGCTTAGTGGTATAGCAATCGATTGCAAATCGAGAGGTCCCTGGTTCAAATCCGGGTGTCCCTTGTAAATTTTTGTTCTAATTTTTGTCTTCCTTTCAATGGAACAGTATTTACAATAGCTTGAGTTTATTAAATTGATAGAATTTTTCTCTTAATATTTTTAGAGTAAGTAGGATTTATACTAGAAGCTTAAACAAACCGTTGGAGTACTGTTGGGTATGTAATTGGTAAACCACTTAAGTGCAGATCGAGAGGTTCCTGGTTCAAATCCGATGGGGGGGGGGGATGGATCCTCTCCATTTTTATAACCTTTATTATGTCAATCCATTTGTAACTAATAAGCATTATTTCCTTTGTACATTTTTAAAAACTTAGTATAACTGGCTGCCTAATTATTATTAAAAAATAACGCTTTTTGCTTTGGCAATATTAAGTTGTGATTCGTAATTATATATTACATTATTTAAATGTTATTTTCCCCCAATTTAAGAACTATTTTTTAATATAAGTTAGCCTCAAATTAGGTAAGATTTATTAAACACCCAAATGGCAGCAAAACTGCTGAATTTCATGGTAGACATTATTATATTCAAATGTATAAATATAGTCATACAATGAATTAAACAATTTCAAAAATAGATCAGATATATAAGTGCAAAAATTAAAAAAAACATTTAAAGTTCATTATTCAATATCTTATTATGATTTGAAGTTTATACTAACTACTGATACTAACACAGGGTCCCAAGTTGGGAGAAGCCATTTCCGGGAGATCTGGTTAATAATGGGGTGGGGGGGGAGGCGCTAGAAAAAGGGCCATGCCCTCCTCAGCCCTAGCACGGATCGAGCTGAGGTGAGCAGCCTTTGAAAATGACAATGTTAGACTGTAAAAACTACTTTCCAAATCAGTTTTCTTATGAAATGATTTGGTTTCTTAGTTGTGTGGTAGTGAAAAAACCTATAATTAGCTTCCTTTACAATAAATTTGCTGGAGATGAGTGCATTTGCGGGAGATTTTTGTTTGCTCGCGGGACTGAGGGAGACTGTACCGATTCCGGGAGGCTCCCATGAGTTCTGGGAGACTTGGGACCTCTGCTAACACACAACTAAAATATTTTTTACTGTGTTCAGTTAGAAAAACTTTTATTTGTTTTCTCATTTTTTGCTTAAAATTCTCTAGGGTTTCATAGTTCACCAACAAGGTGTTTAAGAGATTAGGTGGATTACCTGTTTAGTTTATATCCTACTAGCGCAAATCCAAAATTCAAGTCACCAGTGGTAGTGAAGTTGTTTTGAAAATCAGTTATTTTAAAGGTTCAATTTAACTTAATCACTGTTGAGTAGAGGCTTTTTTACTGAAATGCACAAAATAGGCATTTTTTATATAAAATTGAATGAAAACATTAGATGAATCCTGAACTATTAAGAAATATGGTACTGTATAAGTTTTAGTATACAATTTAAAAAAAATTATTTAATAATAAACTGAAGTTTGTCGTACATTACATTATTTATATTTTAATTTAGAATATCAATGTCACAGACTTTCTGTCTATGTTAATGGTAGTGAATTTAATTTGTAACTAATATCTTGTCGCATAATACAATTTATTTGTTTCTTTTCATGAATGGTTGATTTCAAGTGATTTGTCTATTATTTTGCACAGTTTTGATTGTGTGGGGATATAGCTCAGTGGTAGAGCATTCGACTGCAGATCGAGAGGTCCCTGGTTCAAATCCGGGTGTCCCCTCCAACTTTTTTTTTTTATTTTCCCGAATTAGTTTTCTTTATATTATTTGATGGATATCACTTTTTTTCTTACTTTAATTTTGATAATATTTTTTATTCTATTATAATGTTTTTATTAAAAATACAAAGAATATAGTTGATACTGATTTCATTTTTCTTTTCAGTTGTTCTTGCAATGAAGAATGCTCTAAAGAAACTGGTACTTAATGATGAGCTATAGATTTCCAATGTCATTTTTCTGTTCATGTTTTTTTTTTTTTTTTTCGGGGATAACAAAAATTTTGCATACAACTGTTGTATGTAAGAAGAGGCTTCAATCAAGAGAATAATGTTTGATAAATACAATAATATGATGAGCTGTACTAGTCTAATACACTAAGCAAGACTTTTTTCTACCTTGCTTAGCGACCCCTTCGTGCCCGACTGCCAAGAATTTTATTTTTGAATAAAAATTTTAAAAAGTTGGCGTACCCTGCGCTACAAAGAAAAAAAATGGAAATGGAAATTTCATAAGAAAGTAAGATGCCATATTTATTTTTATCACACTCTCCACTCCCCTGAAATCTCCAAAAATACTGTAAGATATATATATTTCTACCTTGTAATTATATAAATTTAATGCATTTATCAGTCTCATTTCTATACTGTTTAATTCATTTATTAATAACATTTATATTTAATTTCTCCTTCGCCTAGATATTTTTGGCAAAACAAATTTGGTAAATGAGAAAAAGAAATTTTATTTTTATTTTTTTCCCCCCTCCTCTGACAATCTTTAAAAAAATAAATTCGCGAAACAAGGTATAAAAAAGTCTTGCTTTAAACAGTAAGAAAGCAAAAAGTAGCACTTTGACACTAGTTGAGAGAATTAAGTCAGTGACTGTGAATGCTTCTTGACTCTATACAGTACTCAGTAGACCTACAGTATGCACATTGTGTATAATTACTATGTATTCATACCCTAGAGGAAAATATATTTGTAGTATAACTGTCAGGTTTCCTACCTTCAAAGAGTGTGTACAAACTTGTAAGAACAAATTAATATCATTGTGAGAAAAAGAAACAAGTGTAAATACCATTTAATGTATGTGTGATGATGATGTTATAAATCAGGTTCCTGCCAATGTTGAGCCACTTTAGCTGTGTGGCAGTCAGCAACTGACAACCTTCATGAGCTTATCATTAGTAATAATAAACATAGTATAATAAAAATGATAATGATAATAATAGTTGTCACTTGATATATAGGACAAATATTATAAATTTATATTACTTTAATCACGCCACCTCTTCAACATTCTGATATGAAGACAATTAGAACAATCTAATTGCAATAATTCTCAAAAAACAGCAAGTGTTTGATCATATCGTTGCCATGCAAACTTTTATTAGCAATAAGTTATCAATACAATAGAGTTTCTATTAAGAGGACATCTTTAGAATGAAAAAATGTCCCCTTAATAGGATGTACCCTAAGTATGTGTTGACCATAGTGTTAAGATATATTTTTCATTGTTTAGATGTCATTTGGCAATAGCTGAAGTGTCTGTATATTTAAGTAAGTTAATACCTTTAAAATTAGAACAAGAAAATATTATGCTATATTAAGAGTTTTATTAATGGATGTTTTTTTCTTTCATAATAAAGCTTTTTGATCAGGGTTATAGCAGACAAAAAATTACAAACACTGAGATTGACTATTCTGCTCTTTATATGACAGTGCAGTTTAATATTATATTAGAGTACTTACAGTAACTATTACTTAATATATTTTATAGTTTGTATTATGCGTAATTTAGTTTTGTTTAATTTTGTTTTATTATACTATATATAGGTGGTGGGTTTTGAGCAGAAAACTATTTAAGAATTATAGATATTTTACCTCACTCCAACTATATCATCATTTGAGAAGGTCTAGTCATCAAAATTCTATCAGTAACTGAATTAATATTATTGCTTATCTATGTCGGTGGTGGGTTTTGAACAGAAAACTAATGTATTTTTTTTTAGATATTTGACCCAACCCTTATTAATTACAAGAATAATATGTTATATTATTGTGATAATATCATTTGAATTAAAAGAAATTATTAAAGTAGATTGTTATGTGATTTTCTTGACCTTGCTTTGTTCACTGACTTTTAAATGGAAGGAGGCTGTCAATGTTATAATTGGTTATGGTGCCAGGCTAGTTATCTGGAAGTCGTGGGTTCGATTCCTACCTGAATCACTTGCGTTTTTTTAGCGCGAGTATTTGGGAATGTAAGGAGTATTTGGTACGAAAACACATCAGGTAGGGCAAAACATCAACTTCAATGCAATAGTACAGTACTGTAGTTATAACATAATTACAGAACAATACAGGGTAATGATGAGATGATGGTTATGGCGATAGTGCTGTTAGAGGTGCTGGTGGCGACGGTGATGATAATTTGACATATTAAGGTCCATTCCGAAACCTGCATACACATTGATGGAAGAGCATTTTGGTTTAAAAAGGAAGCCAATGCCATTTTTAATAGCAGAACCCTATTATGGGTCCAAAAATTATTTCCTCAAAAGGGTGTCCCCTGAAGATATACACTTTTATTCCAGGGACCAGTTTTTGGCACATAGACATACAACGATGACATACCGTAGGTTCTTTTAATTTCTATTTAAACTGCCCTAAGATCAATGACAGAATTAAATTCATTTTGTAACAATAATTTGCAATGCAAATACAGTACAATACTTTAATTAGAGGAGACCTGTACACAGAAAAAAGAAGAAAAATAAATACAATGGTTAGGGTTAAAATTGAAAAGATTGGTTTATATATGATGAAACACTAAGCAATACCGAGAGAAAAATCGTAGCTCTGAAAATAGTCATTGTTTTACGGTATTGGCCATTTCATTTCAGAAACATGTCAAACAACCCAAGATATTGAAATTCTGTTACATGCTCTATCTCAAAATAATCAAAAAGATCCCTACATTTGAAGAGAAACAAAGCAGAATGTAATTATTAATATGATGGGAAAAATAATTCCACCAACAGTAGTTACTGTATGTTAACCAACCAAAACAAATAAAAGCGCCATCTACAGTTTTAATTAAAGCCCGCGAAATTCTGTACCGGCCCTTTAAATTTGTTGTTTCCACACACAAGAAGTAGGCCTACAAGTGGCAGATTGAAAATGGAATACTTTAAGGCCAATCGTCAGTTTAAATGGCTTGGAGATGGCATTAAACAGAAACGATGTTTGCACTACAAGTGAGTATCAATCATGACCAAAGGAATTTTTGTAAAACTTCAGGATGTCTTGTGGTTGCGACCAGCGTCAAGAGGCTCACACTAGTGTCAGACCTAACGGCCTAGGCCTAGCTAGATTAGGCTAGGCCTAGGATTACCTAACGGGTGCAGGTCAACTCGGCCACAAGTCAACTCGGCCACAGTCAACTCGGCCACAAGTCAACTCGGCCACAAGTCAACTCGGCCACAAGTCAACTCGGCCACAAAACAACTCGGTACGTTCTACTCGGCCACAAGTCAACTCGGCCACAAGTCAACTCGGCCACAAGT